ATAATGCCAGCCATAAAGTTAGCATCACCTGCCCATGACTAGTCCTGGTAAACACTTCCATCACGGTCACGTGTTCACTTGCGGGGCCGACAACATAGAAACGACGAGCGACGGCAGAAAGTCGGCAATCCGCCGAGAGATAAGGGACCATGTTCAGTCGGCACGACGAGAGAGCCATCTTTGGCAGCAATGAATTTGGAATCCACGAGTAGAGCGGCAACACAGACCACAGGCCCCACAGTGGGCCTTGCAGCACGAGAGGGCGAGCCGCACACGCGGCGCCGGTGGAGTCACCTGAGAAAGCAATGGTAGACACCGCCGCCCCGCACGGAGCCTGAGACGATGTCGCTGGGAGCGTCCGGGAGTTGAGGCATTTGTGGACCGCCAAACCTCCGGCACTGCGAAACCAGCGCTTGCAGGAAGAACATTGTCGGCTACCTCTGTTCCGATACAGGTTTGCGCGCTCACCGAGGCATTTATGATGAGATAAACCGCTCCTGGAGAAGAGACAACCACACTCGGAACAAGGTGTCCGCAGGGGCTCACAAACGGGTTCGGGCGAGGCAGAACATTGTAAGCGGCCCGCCATTCCTGTCTATCCTCGGCCAAGTCGTACCATTCATCGATGCCCAACGCTGCCAGATTCTTCCGCGCAGCATCACGCCACCTTTTCCTTGGGCCGCACATTGGACAGACAGGATGTAGGGTGCCAAACAGTAGCTGACGCGGGGCACGCTCTTCATGCATTTGCACAACATGCCCAAGCCACTCCATGCGGCGCGATGTCAGCAGGCTGGGGATGTCACAGGGTTGACGCGGATTCCAATGCTCCAGAACATCAACCCTGGTCAGTCGTTCGTCCCAGACATTCGGCTGGCTGATGCCCATCACGGAACGGTTGCAGCGCAGATGGAAAGAGTACAGTGGATCAAGGTCGGGCTTCAACGGCATCCAGCACTCAGCACAGTACAGAAGCAGAGACAACACGCATGCCCCGTACACAAGCCGCTTCGTAGCAAGTGAGAGGTTGCTGTCATTGAAAACCGGCTGGCGCAGGGCTCCAAATGCACGTGATGCACCTGCAATGCGCGAGCAGATATCTGGGGTGGATCGGCCATTCGTGTGGAGGAGAGAGCCAAGATAACGAAAACTATTTACACACTCGACCACCTCACCCGCCACGTCCAGGGGCAGCCGGTCAGCTTTTACACATTTACACACACACACGCACACACACACACACACACACACACACACACACACACGCACACACGCACACACATGCACATATACACATACTCTAAACACATTATCACACACATAATTCACACACGCGCGCGTGCACGCACACACACATACATACACACGCACGCACACACGCACACTCACACGCATTCATAAACACTCTCATACACATTCATAAACACATACACACATCCCTCAGACCTCAGACATGCCCACCGCGGAAGCGGTGATAGCGAACAGCTATGTTAGACATGGCAACTTGTGCTGGGATTACACCATTCAACAGCTTGCAAGGCTGATGAATAGATGACTTGCACAAAGATCCGAGCCGCGAGTGAGACAGGGCAAGTGCACCCTGTGCACCCAGGCTACACTGCGGGCACCCTACACCGTCTGTAGTGTAGATCTACTTTTTTTGTCAGCATGAATGAACGGTGCACGGCATGTACGCTACACAACTACGTGTACATGATCAGTACATGTACCGTGTGTCTTATGTCAGTATGTCTTCAGCAGCTCATGCGGAGTCATGTGCACTTGTAAGGTTAGTGCAAGTACATTACTGTATATTATGTGAAGAGAAGTCAGGCGTCCAAACTAACCCAAAATACTCTTGCCTTTAATATTCTTCGGTGAAATAGTTATAATAAATTGTCTTACTAAACAACAGTGAGCATAGAAGCAAACTCGATGCACCCAATAATATGGCTTCCGGGAACAGCAAGTGTTGCACGAGGATCCCAAGAACACATCAAGTTCCATGCTACCCGCCACCATCAAAAGAACGAAGGATAACTGTGCTAGCCTAGTTCATAATCAATGTAACGCTAATGGTACGGGATAGTAGGAGCCTGTTGGGAAGGCGTGGGTGAGCTGTAAAATCTTGTATGGTTTGCACAGCACAACATACATGCAGCAGTTATTGCGACAGTTAACGTCGATGGACGAGAGTCATAAAGCACAGTCCATGGGGGTTGACGTTTCTGGGCTTCCTTTCCGAAAGGAAAGTTTTATTTCTTCTTCAATAAAGCAGAATCATGCTGATTATACCAGTCTGTTAGGAAGACAAGAAAGCAGCCATGGACATTGTGCCATACTAGAGGAACGACAGGTAAAAGATAAAGCACTTCATCTGAAAACTCAAGGACTATCCATAAATACAGCAAATGATAATCCTAGCCTGGTAATGTCCAACTCCGTCATGTGAGCCATTCGGTGAGTTATCATGGGAAGCATAATGTTCGAAATGCTGACATTTGAACAGTTGCAGTTGTGTTCGTCGCCACACAATGCCATCACCAGTTCACATTCGAAATGTGTGTAGCCATTTTTACGCTTGTGTCCCTGTACACAGCATGTAAGGCTGAACAGATTCAACTCTTCCATCGCTTCCTGATCTGTACAGTAGCGCGGTTGCGTTCCCGTTCCTGACACTCACATTCGTCTCCGCTAACCAGCATCATGAGCACTCCAATGATTCCCGCCGCTCCTTCCGAATCGTCCCAGCGCGCCCCGTCAAAATGTGAATTACTGTAGGCAACGGAGCTAGTGTATGACGAAGGCGAATGCACTGTTCGTTGATGCTCCAACAAATCCTTTCACCGTTGTATGGAATTTGTAAGAAGAGTAGTGGCTCAACTGTAGGTCCAACGCAGAAGGTACCTCACAGCGCAGTTCTGTTACGTCAATAATAATGAACATACTCAGCAGACTGTGATGTTTATCAGACACACTCTGGCATTATTTGTTCCACATTCTCCCAGGAGGAGATAAAAAAAGTAGTTCAATCATGTCTTCAGTACATGGGGTACTGTTGCCTCGTTGCAACTAAACAGGTATGCAAGTTACTTTCCCATGAGACCCAGCCGGAGCTGCATCGTCGTCATTACCCTCAGCTAATCATGGAGAGGTCAGTGTCTGCTGCAGAGCCGGGTGAGCCGGGTAATCGACCCGGTTGGGCGGCGCTTGGACCCTGTCGAAAATATAGTACCAGGTCACCTGTGAGGCTGTGACCCGGTTGGAACTTTACACGTTCGAACTTTGAAAGGACTGACTACATAGCTTGTATGTGTGACAGATCATGCAGAGGCGTGCGTCGAATACATGTGTACCCGGCTCCGATCCGGTTGAAATGGTTGCGCCAGGTACACGTGTACCCGGCTGTCCTACAATCCTACAGCAGACACTGGAGGTATGATGTGACTTTCATCCACTCCCTGATTCAATCATAGTTTGCGAGCCTGCGCCAAACTGCTTTCTCACTAGATCCAGGCATTGGATACATATGGCTTCAGTATGGTATACAATGCTATGTCTCTGGCCTAAGTCCAAGTCTAGATACAGCTGCTCAGAGTCAGGGCTGATGAAATGGTCATATTGGAACAAGTGAGACTTCAACAGTAGCTAGTACACATCAGGCCTGAGGACTTCGCAGCGTTTCTCCAGCACACTTGTTCTCTCCTTCAACTCAGATACTAGTTGAAGTACTACTAAAGGCCATATGGCTCTCACACTCAGTCCTTCCACCCTTCATTTTCGTGGTTTGGGCTTCCACTCGTGACTCGGCAGGTTCCTGGCCTCTCCGCAGTCTGTCCTCAGGAGAGGGTCGCTCTGGAGCTAGTGCAGCCGAATTAAAGGGAATCGAGTTCTTTCTCAGACGTCCACAAACTTTCGTTGTGCTTGACTTTGCTTCCACTGCGGGAAAGTAGTCACACTTCAGGACCACGACGTGCTTGTTGCAGCCTACACCAATGATACTAAAATAATATTCCCTCATTTTTCTGCCTCCCGGCCGGCCGGCTCAGAAAGCCCGGAACGTATGGAATGAGACCCTCAGGTCCATCACTCGTCTGCTAGTGCATCCAGGAGCGCAGCAGCGCTTCGGCATGACGATACAAGCCGAATCAAAACAGCTCTACTCGCTAGCCAAAAAAACTAGCTCAGTGTTCGTCAGGCAAAAAGCGAAACTTCGAAAGTCACGAACTCAAAAGGTGGGAAGTCAGAAAGTCCACTTGCCCCGTCTCGAACCCAGACAATCTTTGTGCAAGTCATCTATTGACCGCCACTCTTTTTAGCCTTGTATCCCCCACACAGCTGTTTGAAGTGACTTTTCCGGCCAGTGAATCCCTATTTTTCATTTTTTTCATTTTTTCTACACACACACCACACCACATACTCCGGCATACACTGGCTGTTGGTAACCACCCAGGAGAATGAAAGAAAAGTCAGGAAGATTCCGAGAAAGAGAAGAAAGATGTGTGCGACCATAATCGTCGGGAATTGAACCCGCAACCTCTTGATCGGAAATCGACTTCACATACCACTGCACCATATGGGACACACACACACACACACACACACACACACGTTCACAACCACACATGTGTGCATGTGTGTGTGTGCATGTGTGTGCCCCCCCCCCCCCTTTCCCTGTTTCTGCACCTTGTCCTCACCCATTTACTGAGGTGTGGTGAGCCCATAAGTGGAATCATTTCCAAATCCACCCAGAGTTTTGGGGATTTCAGGGGGTGTCAGCCCGTTGGGCGGTTCAATAGCCAATTGAGTCATCTTTCCAAAATTCCTTTTGAATCTCTCTCCCCTCTCCCGGGGAGACGCACGTGACCAGTTTCGGCAGTGAGCAACAAGTATGTGTGTATGTGTGTGTGTGTGTGTGTGTGTGTGTGTGTGTGTGTGTGTGCGCGTGTGTGTGTGTTCGTGTGTGTCTGTATGCATGTATGTTGTGTGTCCATACACAGGTGCAACGGTTGGCTCACATCTCATTGCTGCCGGAGTCCCAACTGGAACCAATGGTACGATAGTCCTGCATAATATTCTGGGAACGGCGGATCGCCCTAAAGTCACATTCCTGAATAATCAGATCATCAATGCTCACCTCACCCCCAGTCAAGTCACAAGCAGCACAAACTTTGTTGCCAATATGATGGTTGGCATGACTTCCTATGCAGCTGTTCTTTACTCCATGAGTCCCGCACTGGCACGGGAAGGTAAGCTTCCTCTCTTGTCATTTTGGCAGTGTGTGAGAGTATGCTTATACCGTAAAGTACCGCGAGAACCCTGTCTGCAAAACAGGCCACACGTGGAGTGCTGGCATTTCCGCTCTCTGGTGGGAAGGGGTGTCCCTCATCACCGGATGACGAAGGATTCATCCGCGCATCAGGCAAGCACACATTCAGCGCAAGAGTCCTGGCATTAGACCCCCAAACCGCATGGGCAAATGAGGCATCTGCAAAAGAGATGCACCACCTTGCCCAGCGTGTGAGGAGTCGGCGAGGAAGCCAATGATCTGTAAAGAATATCTCCTGCTTGTAATCTCGATTCTATGCTAGCCCTCGTTCATGATTGTTCTTTTTCTTACTACTTACTACTTTTCACTGCTATATTTTTTCTTTAAATCCACATGCTCAAGTATTTTCCCCAAGAGCTGCCACCATCAGTTTTCCGGTGAGCACCCAGGACACCCGAACTCTTAAACTAGGTTTTTTGAATGTCTGTAACTTGCGCTACAAAGTAGATGAAGTAACGGCACTCCTCCGGCCGCAGGGCTTTGATATTTTTGGATTGGCCGAAACCTGGCTAGACAGCACTATTGGTGACGGAGAAGTAGCCATTCCTGGATACAACCGTCGCTCACAAGGACAGACCATGTGGGTAGACGAGGAGGAGGTACGTGTATTATTACAAATCTTCTTTGCCAATCCGACCTTGTCCTGAACTGTCTTTGATTGGCCTAGAGGCTGTCTGGATATCGATTCAAGGCGGCCAGGGTCAACATGCAGTGGCCTGGATCTACCGACCTCCAGATGTGGGGATTGACTACTGGAACAACCTTGAAGAGTCACTGCAGCGGGCCCAGGCGCAAGCGCCACACATGACCATTATTGGCGATCTCAACGTCAACATGACAACTCACAGTCACCATCGTACACACCTGCAAGACCTCAGCAATATGTTTGGCATCTCGAATTTGGTGAAGTCCCCCACACGGCCGACTCCGAGTGGGAATCATGGTTCAGTGATCAACCTCGTACTAGCAGACCATAACTTTGTCTCAAGTTGAACTGTTTTGGAATGTACGATTAGCGACCACCACGCGGTGATGGCGGACTTTCATATCGCCACAGCAACATCTAGTCCAGGTAGGCACAGCCAAAAGCGTCGCCACTTACACAACATTGATATCGACCAGTTCCGGTGTGACCTCGCCGAAGCACTCAACGCTAATCCTACATCTGCCCACATGGATGTTGACGACATGTGGACGGCTTTCTATGAAGGGCCTCCCTCTTCTGAATTTGACTCTCTGCTGGCCTTCTCTCCTCCCATCCCCTTACATTGTATTGGGCCTCCGCAGCTCCCCCCCCCCCCCCCCCTCCCCCCACCACCACCACCACCCCACGCACACACTACATTGTCACATAGCACAACTCAACCATTCGCTACCCTGTTATTGAGCACTCCTGCTCGTTTGATCTCGCGAATCCAAATAAAATCAATCAATCAAGGGTTCAAAACAGTTCTAGACATACATGCACCCATCATGCTCTCGTCAAGAAGCCAGAAAGCTGCTGCGACATTACCTTGGATCGACAAGGATACGTACCAACTCACGCAAAAGAAAAACAGATTACACAAGCGCTGGCTAGGAGATAGAGGAAATGACATCCTACACACCCAGTAAAAGACAACCCGGTCTCAGGCATCCAACGCAATCCGCAGGCAAAGAAACGCTTTTTTTACCAGACAATGTGAGCAGAACTCTCATGATCCAAGGAGAATGTGGTCAATCTTGAACGCGGTAACCGGCCGCTCCAAGGCAAGGCAGGACCCAGTGTGCTAAGTTTCTGCGGCGAGCAGCTCCTTCAATATTATTGTCACTGATCCAAGCCGTCCAGACACCCTACAGATACCCCATGGTCCCTGCACCCGCACCTCGCTCTCAGCTCACACGCCAACGACCTGTCCCGCAGTACAGCGATTACTCGCCACAATCGATCCTGACAAGGCTACAGTACAGGCAGTGTCGAAATCCACTGCTGCGAGCCTGCAGTGACATTGTTGCCCCGCACTTATGCGACCTCTTCAATGCCTCCTTACATTCCGGTCGCCTACGGAAGCCGTTCAAACACGCCCTGCAGTCGCCACTAACTACAGACCCGTGTCGTTATTACCAATTGT